TAAAAATGTTTACAGCCAATTTTGAAAGAGATGCATCCTACCTCAGGAAACCGTTATTGAATATGTCAATTGTGTTGTAATGATATGCTTCTTCTAAGTATGTTGTTATTAAATAAATAATTTAAAAAAAAAAGAACTGTATTATCTGGGTGTGGTGGCATATGCCTTTATCCCAGCACTTGCAAAGCAGAGTCAGGCTGATCTCCCTGAGTTTGAGGCCAAATTGGTCCACTTAATGAGTTACAGGCCTGCCGGGGCTAATAGTGAAACCCTGTCTCTAAAAAAGAAACAACAACAAAAAGTGTATGGCAGTCCTTAAATCAGTAGGCTTCCTGTGACTCTATTTCCATGTTGCTTATCCTAGTTGGTTTTTGGACTTTTCAGTGGCAGAATGATCACTCAAATTTTATACAACTTGTACAGTTCATTTTCAGTAGGATCTTTGTGTCTGTGTGTGTAGGCACATGTCTATGTATGCATGTGAAGGCCAAAGGACAACCTTGGTGTCCTCAGGAGCTATCCATTTTTAAAATTTATTTATTTTGAGACATGCTTTCTAACTGGCCTGGAACTTATTACGAGGTCAGCTCGGCTGTGTGGCCAGAGAACTATTAAAAGTATGCCCAGCTTTTTTTTTTTTTTTTTAAATCTGGGTTCAGGGCTTCAAACTCCGGTCTTCATGCTTCATATTTTACTGCCTGAGGTATCTTCCCAGCTCCATAATGGGATATTGATGCCATTTGTGATAACAGCATCTTTTGGCTATGTATGCATATTTACATACTTACATGTGCATGCAAGTGAAGATCAAAGGTTGATTTCAAGTGTTCCTCAATTGCTCTCCACCTTTTTGGGGAAGAGGGCATTTTCTTAGTCTTCATGCTTCATATTTTACTGCCTGAGGTATCTTCCCAGCTCCATAATGGGATATTGATGCCATTTGTGATAACAGCATCTTTTGGCTATGTATGCATATTTACATACTTACATGTGCATGCAAGTGAAGATCAAAGGTTGATTTCAAGTGTTCCTCAATTGCTCTCCACCTTTTTGGGGAAGAGGGCATTTTCTTACTGAAACTGGAACACGCCAGCTGGCTGGTCAGTGAGCACTAGGGATCTACCTGTTTCCACTGGGATTACAGCTATGCTCCCCTGACCAGAATTTTTACGTGGATGCTGGGAATCCAATCTCAGGTCCTCGTGCTTGCACAGCAGGCACTTTACCAACTGAGCCATCTCCCTAGCCCCAGAAAAGTCTTTAAACACCCAATCCCCAGGTTTAATCCCCAGTAGAATACACACACACATGAACCCAAAACAAAATCCAAACAAAAAGCCTACTACCAAGAGTAAAAAATAAAACCATATGCTATAAACCTATCTGTTTAAGATCTAAACTTGCTTTATTTAATCATTAAATGTTTATTTTCATCTGTGTACCAGTTATTGCTATATACCCGGAGGAAACTGCAGTAAATAAAGCAGACATATATACTAGCATGAAAATTATGTTTTAGTAACAGTGGACCGTAAATGAATAAACAAGGAAAATAGAAGGCAGGGCTAAGTACTAGTCTTAAAATTGATGATTAAAATACATTACGCTAGATCATGTGATTAAGGGAAACTAAGAAGGTACAATTTAAGCCATTTCAATAACCAGAGAACCCAGCTTTGCAAATAGTGGGGAAACCTGTTGTTTTCAGAATGGGCAGCGGTGCAAACCCTGAAAGTATGATCTAGCTTGGAATCTTTCAGGAGCCAAAAGAAGGTCTGCATGGTGGAGCATGATAACTAGGAAAGCAACTTTAGAGAGACAGGAAAGTGCTAGGTAGTGCTAGCTTTGAAACCCAGGAAGGGGGTTGGTTGGATTTTATTCCAAGTACAATGGGTAAGGGATAGATACTGAAAAGTAGTATAACATAGATCTTAAAATCTGTAATAACACTTGTTTTCTAATTGAAGTATTTTGTCTGCTTAAATGCAACATAACTAGGAATATTTTGTCCTACCTCTCCAATGTTCCATTTTTCTCTTTTGCCTTCTTTTAAATCGATTATTTTTAATTCTTCTATTTCTTCTACCCTATAAGTTTGACAGCTATAATATCTTTTAGTATTCTTTCTATTGTTTACTCCTAGT